GTAGTAAAAACACTGAAACCGAATCCCCTCAGAAATTGGCACCAAATTGAACGCATCACAATCTATCATGTAGCACTACTAAATCTTTTGAAATGAGTGTATTGCTTTACTGATGACAGATACAGAACATTGTAATCAGTCGTTACTTGTAGAAAACATCTTCAGTTTTAAAATGTAACCACCTAGAATTTTGTATCTCGAATATTGAATGAGATATGATGTGATTGAATGTATTACAATCTATAACGTAGCACTACCAATTCTTTTGAAATTTGTGTATTGCTTTACTGATGACAGATACTGATGCACAAAAGCATTACAGGTTTGAGCATGAACAAGTTCACTGTATGCATGTATGCAGTGTACTAAAGAATGTATTTTAAGATTCACTTACATTACATACTTTCATATTTATTTTTGATATATCATCAATTTTGCTCATTTGCATTATGAAATCATAGTCTTTGATGGGGTGAAATCACCCTATTCTGAAGTTGGTATAATTTGTAGGATAGGTTGATTGTCACTGAGAAACTCGCAAAATCTTGGAGAAACAGCACACACAAATGCTTGAGTTGAACTGTACTCAATCTTGCGGTTTTGGGAAACAGGAAAACAGTCCTTCAAGGACAAGAATTAGCAACAGGATTTGCAGTGAAATGTAGCCTTGGAGGCTTCCATAAGGAACATGAGAACCAAGATCTTCCAAGGTTCTCACAGAAAGTAAATTTGTTTCCAAGGACAAGAACTCTGGTTCTCTAACTGACTTTGCTAAAAATAGACNAATGCTTGAGTTGACCTGTACTCAATCTTGTGGTTTTGGGAAACAGGAAAACAGTCCTTCAAGGACAAGAATTAGCAACAGGATTTGCAGTGAAATGTAGCCTTGGAGGCTTCCGTAAGAAACATGAGAACCAAGATCTTCCAAGGTTCTCACAGAAAGTAAATTTGTTTCCAAGGACAAGAACTCTGGTTCTCTAACTGACTTTGCTAAAAATAGACCTAATAAAAATTTGCAACAGAGGTTTTGAATTTTTTAGGTTGAAACTGCAATACAAAGCCCTTTTCCTGGAAAACTTAGAAAAAACCATAAAATGTTGATATTCTGGGGCTTAAATGGCTTCTTCAATGGGTAAAAGGCTGCTGAACTTGGAGGCAGGTGTATATTTGTCCAATTAAGTCTTTCACTTCCTTTAAAACACATAAATTTCTGTTTTTATTGCTTTTTTCTTTATTTTTTCAAGAAAAAAATGGCAAACAGGCCACAGAAAATTTGACTTATGGAAGTTTGAAGGGAAAAGCTTATGACTCAGGGAGGTTTTTAATCTATCGGTTCTAATGGGATTCAGCTGGGGACCTGGAAAAATTTGACTTAGCGGGGTATTTGACTTAGAAAGGTTTGAGTTATTGAGGTTCACTTTCAGATCCAACATATAGTTTTAATAATTCCAAATTATTGTTTTTTGCTTGCATAGCCGCATCATGTGGCAACACTTCAGTGCTACTTTGAAAATACTGTACTTTCCGCCAATTTCAATGCATTTTTCATGCAATAAATCCAACAATCAAAACAGGGCCAAAAATTGGGTTCTGTCAGTTGATTAGGCACCCTGTGAATTCTGGCTGTTCCAAACAGTGAAGAAACCCCTCAAAAAGGATTGATTTTGATGAAAATGAAAATCCTCATGTCTGCCATCAAAGACCAGCCTTGTTGAAAATTAGAAATAGCAATTAAGAAAATACATCTTTTAGCTTCTGGGAGAAACCTGATCCTTCAGGAATCTCATGGGACCAAGTTTGACCTCAATTTCCCACACTTTTTTCAGCTATCCTTGGGATTCCCTCATATCATTCAGTTCTAAAGGACAAAATGACCCTTCAAGAAATTTCTTGCTGCAATAACTTCCTATTGTGGTATCACTCATATTTTGGCAGTCTCACAGAAAAGATGTTGAAGAATTATCTCTGTTTAATTCCCTTGTAAAATCTTGTCTTTGTCAAATAAATCAACCTTACACTAGGGTGTAAAGCACACTGGGCACAGCCTGGTTGATTCTAGTTTTCTTTACTTTCTAAAAAAAAAGTGCTTCAAAGATAATTTCATCTCATCACAGCCTCATGAACTTACAGAACTTGATTTTTGGCACTGATTCAATCATTGGATTTATTGCATGAAAAAAAGTATTGAAATTGGCAGAGAGTTTGTTGAGCAGCACTGAAGTGTTGCCAAATAATGGAGCCGTGCGAGTTGCTGGGCAAAAGGCCCACAAAGAATTCAAAAGAATAAAAAAGCAAACTCCGCCAGGGAACATGGCAGGAAGATTCATGGTGGAATCTTCAAAAGAAGGTTGAAACGTGTATTTCACAAAATAAAAATATGAAATAGGGAATAAGCAGTTTTGATAAAGAACAAAAATCGGGGTTCAAAATGGCAAAAAGACACAAACAAATGTTTTGAACACAACCAAACACTTCAAAAGCAGGGAAGGTAGTGAGTTGCTTTGTAAATTGCAAAAAGATGGTTTTTTGATTGTGCAATTCTTGGCAGCGGGAACTTCCAGAAGAATTTCCTGTTGCTGCATTCCAACATTCCTTCATTCAGGTTTAATTTTGTATGCTAGAGTATTACAGTATTACTATATTATTAATATTTTCATGATGCGCCCTCCGTGCCCCACACAAGTAGAATATTTTTATATTTTGGAAAGGTTGAAACTCCGTTGGATCTATTTCAAAAAGTCTTAAAACTTATCAAGAACCAACCCCTGGTATAAACATGTCATTATTATATAAGAATCAAATGACACCGATGACACGCCCTTTTCATATACACACGCTGTCGAATAACGTCACATCACAGTGACGAACTTCGTCTTGCAGCGGCAATCCTGGTTTGTCAGCTTGGCAACACAAAAACTCGGAGTCACTAACAGAACGATCAATTATAATCGCAATCAACATTTATTCATTTATTCCATTTTTTCCCCCGTAGTTGGACTCATGTAAGCCGAGGATCTAAATGACATGAGGTGTGACACCTGAATAAGAATCAGCTTTATTGAAGAGGCATTCATCATACGTTTCAATATAGTATTTCGGTATTTTCTCACGGTGGAAAAAAAGTATGTTTGTATTCCTCAACCGGACCGGCGAAGTTCCACAGATGAAAAATTTCACAGACCGACAAAGTTTCATAAAATTTTACTTGAATCAAAAAAGTTTTTCTTTAAAGACCTCATGGCAGGCCTGAAAAAGTTTCAGATTTTTTCCAAAAATTAGTTTAAGAACCAATGGATCAGCTACAGTTCAAAAAATTAGAAAGGTGGACTTGAAAAAATGTTTGTCAGAATACAAAATTGAAATAATTAATTTTATCCAGTGAAAATGTGTCCAAAGTTTTATTAGGAGACAAGCCGACTTTCATTTTTCATCAGATAATTTCAACTGTCTTCGTATTTGCTGATAAAGATGACAACTTTACTTGCTACATTTGAGAAATGTATCATGATGAAGACAATTTCTCGAAGACCGGCAAAAAAACTTCCTATAGGACCATGGGTTGGGGAACACTGTGTTGGATAACTTATGTTCGATATTCATGTTATTGGAGACTGCATTTGTGAGAATAACTTTGAAAAGAGTCAACAAGATTTGAAACTAAAATATCAAGTCCGAAACAAAAATTAAAATGGTAATTCCCTTTTGACAAGAGGACTGAACTCCTTGACCCAATAATAAGAAGCGCGAAAAAAAAACTTCTATACAGTATTCAACAGGATTGGCATGGACTACAGTAGTAGCGACATCTGCCGGAATATGGGTAGATCAGCATTAATTTCTGTGTTATGTTTTCGCAGGTGAAACTAATCCTTCGCTTGTTGCGAGATCCGTTTAAGATCATTGCTGATTGCGACGCAAAAGAAATGAAAAAAATGGACCATCACTCAATATTTGAGACTCGAACATGCCGAAGAAAATCTTATATAAACGCTGGTAGAATAAGCTCAGTTAACTTTTACAAAAACAGGGCAAAGATTCAACTTATTCGCATCCACTTCCTCCGACGAAACACCAGCATTCGATTATTTTCGGATGTACATGTACATACCCAAATAATGCAAGGGGTATCACATATAATGCGAGAGACACACAGCCATGAAAGAACTGATGCGAACCACATCTTGAATGAACTGGTGTTGTTGCGAAGTGTGTGCTGTACATGGGTTCGACCGCCGGACCTAATAACCCCCCCTCAGGACAGGGAAAATCCCATGGCTTCACATGCAACCTGATCGCCTCGGGCAGCCAATTAAAGGAGCACTGTATACAGTACTGTACTGTACACAGTACTGAACTCCTTTTCGCATTTTGTGCTCTTGCCCATCCCTGCGAACGTCCCTCCTTATTTTTTTTCGAAATCCGACACATCGCTCGTACGAATTCATCGAATTGACAGAAAAAATCTTGCAAGAACATTATTAAAAATGTAAAATCTTTCGTCAGTCAAAATTTGTTTTCACTATACGTATCACAAGCTGAAAGTTGATTTTGCAAACATCCTTCTTATATCAGATATGAAATTGAAAAACTCCCAGATCAACTTAATTTATTTAGAAATCGGAGAATTCCATGCGATATGAAATGTCTAAAATAAGGAATGGTTCAACTTTCAAGGATGATATGAATTTCAGTTTCATGCCCTTTGGTATAAGTTGATGTTCAGGATGAGAATTCGCGCAACAAACAAACGCTCGTTAAATAAGAACTGTCTTACATTAAAAAAAAAATTCAGAAAAAGTGCGCGAAGAATACAAACAAGGCTACCCTTGACCTAATTGACAGTGTTCAATCAATTTTCTTTCAAATTTTAATATGGTGAAAATCGTATTTATGAAACATTCACACAACTTATTTCCACATAATTTGTAAAAAGAATTCAGCTTCGACGAACATTATCTTGAAATACAATACAGTTCTGTACTTCCACATTTTATTTAAAATAATCTCATCTCAAGTTATTCAGAATTAAATGTTTCTCGTGAAATTTCGCACTGGAACACGACTTTCTTCTTACGATGGGCTCATCTCCGATGAATAACATTTCACGAAAGTAAGCCATCAAGAGCATATATAAAAGCTTTTGAAATTTCAATATCTCTTCAATTTTTCTCATCACGGCGATTTCGAGATGATCGGTAAACCTTCATCTTCCCAAAGAACAACAATGAGTGCGTGAATATCAAGATTAAGTTTTTTTTCTTTTTGTGAAAGTTCGATAAAGGTTCTTGTTACTGGTGCAGCAAAATTTCTTTCTGGAAGCCATGTCGCAATTTCCGAGGAAACGCGTGTCGAAAACTGAGTTGGGAGAGGATTCTTCGAAGCGTGCCAAAGACTCGGACGGGGAAGAAGGCGACTCGTCATCATCTCCCGGAAGTGCTTCGTCCACGTCTCCGGAAATGCCCGGAAATAGCGGGGATTTGCGGAAACGATCCAGCGGTGGAGCCGGGAAATCCAAGGACAACGAAGACGAGGATTCCGTCATTGGGCACCACGTTGCCGACGGGGTTCCTTTGAGCGAACTTCCCATCGCTGAGGTTTGTGTAAACACTAATAATGCTAAAACATGTTTTTTTTTCTTCTTTTGCCTCATGGATTTTAGCAGGTTCCGTTTCAACAATACAACTAACTTCATTGAGTACGGTAAATCAAGTGCGACGGAATTTTTATTTTTTCCAAATGCGCGAATCACGATAGCTAAAATCCTGAACTCCGTCTGAAATCAGGCATCAAGTCAATGATTTTCTTATACAGTAAAATCTTTTTACAACGAAGTCGATGTGAAAAGGTAAATAGCTTCATTAGATAGCGAAAAATTCTTTTAACGGAATTCATTCAACATTGTGTCTATTGCACAGGGACCTAAAAAACGACTTTGTTGTTATCGACTATTTGTTATAACGAGATTCGCTGTAACGAGATTCCACAGTACAGTACTGTGCTTCTTTACAGCATGAAAACATCACTACGATTGGAATAAAATTCTCCAAAACTAGTCAAATTTTATACATTTTCGTTCCAATTGAAGTCCTGCAGAAATGTGCACAGTGATACTGTAGAAGGGAATTTTGAAAGAAAAAATTATATACCACTGGTTTTTTTTTCAATTACAGCTGGACCCCTTAATAATTTGTCCGCATGTCGGAATGTCCAAATGTTCATCACACTTTCCCATAGAATTAAATGGAAACCTATTTCATTGGTTCTGTTTCTCAAACATAAGGAAAAAAGCTTCCAAACATTTTTTTTATTAACAGCAAGAATGCAAGATACAGAAAATAACTGTGCAGAAGAATAATTTAACCAGCAAAATTCATGCTGTCTTGGAGAGCCTGCACATGCTCCCAAAATTGAGACAAATGGTTTTGAAAACAGGGAAGGTAATTGGCAAGATACAAGCTCCCAAGAATGGCAAGAATTTGCCTCGCTGCTCCCAGTGACACCGCTGGATTGCAAAAACTGATCTTGAGTGAAAAAAAAATTGAATCAAACTGATTGCCTGGACTGATTTTTTAATTCAAGTCGAGTTCACTCAAAATCAGTTTGAGTTTCACGCAAATTGAGTTAAACTCAGCTCGAGTTCAACTGAAACTCAAATTGAATTAAAAGTGATTTTGAGTTTCACTCCAAATCAGTTTAATTCAAAATAATTTTCACTTGAGATCAGTTTCTGCAATCCATTCATCCAGGAAATAAAATTGCATGCAGTGTGTCACTGGGAGCACCGAGGCTAATTCTTGCCATTCTTGGGAGCTTGTATCTTGCCAATTTCCTTCCCTGCTTTCAAAACCCTTTGTCTCAATTTTGATAACATGTGCAGGCTCTCCAAGACAGCATGAAGTTTGCTGGTTAAATTATTGCATCATGTATTTCCTTTTTTGGTGCAAAACAGCAGATCTCCAGAACAGCAGCATAGTGGAAAAAACTGCCTGACAACTTTTTTTGTGGAAATTTTCATTCAAATGTTTTTGTAACCATTTTGTGGCCCTTGGGACCATAAAAGTGTATACCATTTAAAAGAGAATTGATGAAGTTTTCATTTGGTGTTTTTTTCAATTGCCACAGCTCAATTTGCTACTGAGCTATTTCAAGTCAAAAATCGGTTCACTTTTTTTGTTGCCCCACCCTGTATACTTTGTCAGCGTTTTGATGTCATAGAACCACTTAATTATCGCCCATGTGCTTGGAACGAGTTTCGCCATTGAACAACCTCCAGAATCGTACGATTGATTGATCGAGTCGCCTCAAAGAAACCGGGGAATTGATATTTCAGTGAAGCCGGGTTTAAACAGTACAGAAAAGTGGGTTTCGAACATTTTTTGTTGGCTATCGCTATAGCGTTTACAGTTTTTTTTATTTTAATGACGGGAATGTTTTTTTTCTGTCATTTAAAACTGGAGACTTGAAAATTCAGTAAAGCCGTTGGTTGGTGAACGGACACGGGACAGGAAAGCAGGCTTCAAGCATTTGTTTTTGTTATCGCACGCTCATTTTGATTTTTTTTTTCTCCTCCAAAGATTATATTGTATTGTATTTTAATGACGAAAATATAAGGGTTCATTTGCCCAATTACCATAGTCTTTCACTTCCTTTCAACACACATCAAGTTTAATTTTATTTGTCTTCAGTTTCCTGTGTAAATAAAATATTGTAATAGACAAAATATCGCCCAGGAAATTTGAGTTATGGAGGTTTGAGGCAAAAGACTTCGAGTTAATAAGATTTTTAGTGCTTTATTTCCAAGGGTATTCAGATACGGAATAAAAAAAAAAAGATGAATTTACATAGGGAAGGTATTTTACTTGGGGAGGTTTGAGTTATCAAGGTTCAACTGTACTGGAGATAAAGATCAAATTTAATGATATACAAAATATTGTCAAGTAAAACTACGTTTTGCATTTCCGAATGTTTTGCACGACGAAACTAATTCGAAACGAATTTATTATCATTAGTTTGCGGGGACCCACTTTTGAATTTGTATATGCTTCGTTTCAATGTACGATTAAAAACGAAGTTTCATGTTTGGTTGAGTCAAGATTAACATGATTTCTGAGTTTCACTTTGAGAGGCGATGAACTCGAAAATCCATGCGCTCAACTGATAAGCTGGAAAATGTTTGTTTTCGATGATAAGCTGATGGGAAACGAGCGTGTTTCATATAATCAAAGCTTCATTTTTTTTTTCAAGCCCCAGGGTTCGACAAAATGGCTAGATATTAGGGATGGGCAAAGTTTTTGTTTCGAGAAACAAAATTTTACTTTTGTGTCTTTCGTGCTGTGTTGGTGTAAGAACGTCTGAATAAATCCTACGTTTCACGATATCATCAGGGATACATCAGTGTTTCAGACGTTTTTGATAGCTAAACAGTATTAGTGATCTTCTGTGAATTTTGCCTCCTCGGAAAAAATGAATGAAATTCGAGGAAAGAGATTCGAGATGTTTAACCTTTTCAAAATCAACTCAAACCACATCTCGAAAGAAATTCGAGATGTGGTTCGAGTTGATTTTAAATGAATGAAATTCGAGGAAAGAGATTCGAGATGTTAAACCTTTTCAAAATCAACTCAAACCACATCTCGAATCTCTTTCCTCGAATTTCATTCATTTAAAATCAACTCGAACCACATCTCGAATTTCTTTCCTCGAATTTCATTCATTTTTTCCGAGGAGGCAAAATTCACGAAAGATCACTAATAGTTCGAGTGGATTTTGAAAAGGTTAAATTTCATCGTTGATTTTCCTTCGCTCTTGTGTTTTTCAACGCCTCCATTGTGCGCTTTTTGGTTACATACAGCGTTTTTTGTGCGAAGTAGAGGAGAAACTAATTTATCTTCGTGTTCTCATTGTCTTTGACTTTTATTTTCTTGGGACTCGGTTCGTCAATCAAGTTTTGAGTTCATACGTTCCGACATCTTGGATACTGTTTTTTTAAAGAATATCTTCAGCCAGCTTCGGGTTCTTGATGACATAAGTGAATATTCGATCAGTTTCAATTTTTTTTTATTTGTATGTAAAGGTATTGAAGATTTTTTTGATGCAAGTCAGAGAAAATTCAGAAAATGCTTACAATTTAAATTTCTTGTTTTTTTTCCCAACAAGACAGATACTTTTTTTGTTAATTTTCTCCTTTTTATTTCCAAAGCTTCATAATTTTCTGCAATTCTTCTTTGAAAATTAGCAACGATTTCGTTTTTGCGAGGTTGTTCCCGACTTGGGTTGTCTCGATTTCGGGTCGTAAATAAAACCCAATATTTTTTTTACATCTTTAACAGGAAGGGTAACCATCATTTCGAAAGATTGACACAGGAAAAGGCATTTTTGGTCAATAAATTTTTGTTGTGACACGAAAAATGTCACAAACGCTGTATTTATTACGGCAAATACTCCTAAATTACAGGCAATCATTGGTTCTATGCACGAGAAAATAATTCCTGATTAAAGTGAATATTCGATCAGTTCCAAATTTTTTTGCATTTTTTCCCCGTTTTCGGGTGCATTGATTAATGTTACAAAGTTTTATTCATTTGATGGTGTGCAGTGCATTCTTGAGGATTCGAAGTTTGATTATCTAGTGCCTGAATTTAATTAGTGTTTCGAATCCCGCCACGACATGGCTCGAAGGACGAGGTCGGAATGGAGTACAGATTCGGTACGTGGTTAAATTTGTCTGACTCATTTTGGTGTGGGTAGATGTCGCTGGCTGAAGACGGCATTTTCAGGTTAAGACACCAGTCATGTGGAAAGTGTAGCTAGGTTTCCTATGGATTTGCGAAATGTGAGAATGAGGATTGCCAAGGTTTTCTTGATGCTTCTGCTTGTATTCTGTGGAATATTTTTGGAAAATGTGGATTAATTTGCTTTGGAGCTGACTTGGGTGATGCTTCACATTTTCTTTTGAAGCACCGCATGAATTTTTTTTAGTTTCAATTCATTTCTCGCGTAAAACTCGATACCATACATTCCTCAATTGATGAGGAATTTTTTGAAGATCAGTGATTTTTTTGATTGCTTAATGTCTTTGTATTTCAGTATTCATAAATCCGCCCTGCTTCGGTACCCACGTATTTTTGGCAAGGTTTTCTTGGACAGCTCTCTTAGAGCCACAGTCCGTTGATCTGTTCGAGTTTCTGTTCTGTGACCTTTCTTTCTAGAAATTGTATCTCATGAAGCTTTTTCAAGTCCAGAAGAAATAAAAATTATTGTATACGAGTATGAGGATAAAAATCTTGTCAAGAAACAAAACATTTCTGGAAGACCTGAAAAGGACTCGCCTTTAAATCTGCAGAGCGATTTTTCATCATAGCAAATTATTGCAATTAGTTGAATTGTTTGAGAGTTTCCATCATGTAACCCTTATTTAAAACATTTTTCCACATTTTTGAAGCCTTAATTGTCCAGAACAAATACAAAATTCTTCTGTGAGGCATACAAGGAAAAAAGACGTCATGACGCACATTTTTGCGCATGAAACAACATATTTCTGCACGTCATGAAGGGATTCGAATCGGAATTTGTAGAATGATATGTATATATTACAACAAATACAATTTTGTAAACTGATAATTCAAAATGTTCATCTTTTTTGCTTCTCTTAGTATCATGTTGGACCAGCGCCGTTCAGCGATGACGAGGCTGCTATTCGAGAGCGTGAAGCCTGTGATTATACGATTAAAGTTACCATGGAGATGGCAAAAGCTGGAACAGGTGCGTTTCTTATTTTATTCGAAATATTAAAAAAGAACAAAAAACTGCTTTTCTTAAAGCCGATTTCTGCAAGCACATGCTAACGCTTTTTTGAATGTCGTTTGTTTCCTAGAACAAACGCCAATCAGACAAAAGATTATTTTGACGCCTTCCCGTGTGATCGAATGGAGGGTTCGCTACGTTCGAAATTTTTTTTTTAATCGCTGTAGTGTATATTAAAATTGCTTCATTCTGTGAAATGAATTAAATGAATGATGCGTGTTTCAGGACAAATGGAATATTTAGAAACCGCGAATTCATAAATTTAGTAGAGATCTAGATACCAAGAATTGGTTACCTCGGATTCTTTAAAAATAGAAGTTAGATCAACCGCGCCGAAAATTTTGAATGCGCACGGGAAACCTACTGATCGGTATTCCTCATGATTATAACTTATTCATTGATTTCCCCTCAGATTACCTAATTATCAGAGCTTGTGCAAAGTGCCATTTCAGGCACTCTTGGCGTCACGATTTGTGGCTGTTCATAAATTTTCCAAATGTTGAATAAAAAATGTTTCAGTAGAATTTATTCATCCGTCAAAGGCTTTCCCCGCTCGTTGGATAAACTTCTTGAATCTTGGATAAACACTCTTTCTGCGTTTTATTTCTATTTTTTGAGCCAAACCCTTTTTCTCACACATGAAACACACTAAATTCTGTTGCATGTAAGAAAAAAGTTTTTTTGTTGTTGGGAATCCCGTATTGGAGACATCTAGGAGAGAAAAGCGAACTATTCGTCATAAAATGAACTATCGGTCGCTAGCCTAGATGTCAGGCTTTCCCATCGTAACATGGCTAATAGCGGTCACGACTTTTTTTTTCGACTTCAGTAGATGTCGCCATTCGATGAATCACCGTAGGTCGAAATATCGTCCGCTTTCGAAACGTGCAGCAATGCAACTCTGATCTGTATGAAGTTATCCCTTCTTTCGCGACAATCTTGGAAGTTCAATACGGTATAAAATATACATATTTTTTCTCCTTACAGTCAAAAGAAAAGTTCGAGTTTACGCAGATGGGATTTACGACCTGTTCCATGCTGGACACGCGCGTCAGCTCATGCAAGCAAAGAACGCGTTCCCGAACATTTACCTAATTGTCGGAGGTTTGTGATTCTGCCAAAAAAAAATTATTTCATCTCAACTGGGGAATTTTATGGTTTTTCTCCTGCTTTCGCCGCAGTCACGAGTGATCAACAGACACACAGCAAGAAAGGGAGAACCGTAATGAGTGAAGACGAGCGGTACGAAGCCATTCGACACTGTCGTTACGTCGATGAAATAGTTCGCGATTGTCCCTGGGAAATCACTGAAGAATATCTGATGAAGCATAAGGTTAGTAATCCTTATCTTGCATTCACTGTATGCAATAATGAATGCCAAAGATATGAACTAATTCGGATAACAGCCATGAGTAGACTATATCTTCCAACTGATCTTTGGTCATCTCCCACATTCTTCAAAACTTTTCTTATGATCAATGTGAAGATTTTGTCTTGACCGTAAGATGCTTCTTTAAAACGACAGTATCGTAATACAGGTGGACCCTCTCTAGGACAAAATTCAGGCAACTCAAAAAAAATTCTTTGTAGAGAGAATTTGGTTGCAGAGAAAAAGAGAACTGTCGCAAAAATAAACGGTAGCCTTCAATTTGTTACACAAAATCTGAAAACCCAAATTTGCAGTAAACTCTTCTTCATTCATCTCTGTGAGAATCAAGGAAGACCTTGGTTCTCACGTTTCTTTCAGAGCCTTCAAGGCTGTATTTTATTGTGAAAATCCTGTTGCTGTTTTTTGTCCTTGGAGGACAGTTTTCCTGTTTTCCAAATTCAGCCAGATACTTAACTTCTTTCCAAGCACTTGTGTGATCCACTTGAAGATTTTGCTGCATGAAACCATTCTGAGTTTGTGATTCAAATTATAACAACCTTAAAATAGGGTGAAATTTCACCCCAGCCGCAGCCCAACCAAATTCAGTTGTTTCATTCATTCTAATTAAAGTACAAACTTTCCTAAAAATTTATTCAATTTTGAACATCTTTATTTGTCAAGGATATATTCCTGACAAGAACCTAATTTGGCTTTTGGGACCACAAAGAAAATTTTTCTACAGCGGATATTGTTGTAGAGACAGTTCACCTATACACAGAATTTTTTTTTCTTTTGTCACTTAAAATGTATACTTTATGAAACTCAGGAATGCTGACAATTCCACATGCAAAAATTAACGTCCAATCACAATCACTATTGCAATGGCTAAAAAAAAGCATTGCCCAAATGTTATTGCAATCCGTACTTGTAAGAAAAATCCTTTCTCACATCCCCCCCCCCTCCTCCCCCCTTACGAAGAATGTTTTTCAGGGATAAAGAAAGATAAAATCTACGCATTTTCAGTACAGCCAACTGGCTTGTGAACCTTATTCGTACACGAATATTTTGAATGACGCATCATTTCATTCAAGAGTCTTGGATCTTCCATTTTATACCTCATACACTCAATGAATTGATAAAATTTTTGATTGAGTTTTATTTTCGCGCATTAGATCGACTTCGTGGCTCACGACGATATCCCATACGTGACAGGTTCCGGTACAGACGTGTACGCAACCATAAAGGCGAAAGGCATGTTTCTGGTTACACAACGAACCCAAGGAGTTTCCACGTCAGATGTCGTTGCTAGAATTGTTCGCGATTACGACGTGTACGTGCGACGAAATTTGGCACGTGGTTACACTGCCAAAGAGTTGAACGTGTCATTCATGAAGGTTGGTTAAATTTGATTTCTTCAATAAGGTGTGTTGGGGACAGTTGAGCAGGTCGCTAATGAGAGCAACCCAAAATAACGCGATTCAGAGCATACAATATTAAAAAATAGGATAAAATATAAGAAATCAACTTGAAAAGATTAAATTTTAATATTTTATAGTTCACAAGGCGATGAAGCGTTTCATAATCCGTCAATTCACACAAGAACCTCTCTCAGTTGAAGGTCAGCAATAATAAAAAAAATAGCAGTAGAGAGGTTTCCAGTTGGGGAGAAAAACCCATTTTTGTTGAGGGAAAGACAAAGGATTTTCAGGCAATTGTAATCGGTGATATTATGGGCTTTAAATTACTTCTTCAATGGGTTGACAGGATGCTTAAGACCGTGGCGAAAGTAAACTTGCAGGAGTAGTCTTTCACTTCCTTTCATAATACATCAGGTTACATTTTTTTATTGCCTTTCTCTTTCATGTGTCAATAAAATAATACAGGGAGACCCACACATGCGGACACACTGACCTGTGGACAATTCAACATAGGGACACTTACTTTCCCAGAAAAAATTAATAAAAAGGCCCAACATGAGGACACTGACTCAACATAGGCACATATTGTGATAAAATTGCAACTTCATTTCAGGCAAAATTACAAGAAACAGATATTTCCAACCCTAAGATTGATGTAAGAAAAGTTCTTGGGCATTTCTTTCACCAATTTACCATCCATTTAGCTAATTTAAAAATTACCTCCAGCATATAGAAGGACTTCTACTTTTTTCAATTGAATGCTATTTTTGTAGATGTTAGCATTTCAATGTACAGTACAGAGATACACTATTCAATGCTCCAAATGTTCTTATTGAGTTGAAAATATTTTCACTCAATAAAATTCAAGCGGCAAACTTTTTTTTCATGGAATTCTGAAGAATATTTCTCCCATGAAACACCAATTAAAAATTATATAATGTAAATCCAAGGGAAAATAAGACTTGACTTGGGGACATTTCAACTAAGGGACACTCTTGATGCACCAATTATGTCTGCATCTCGGGGTCTCACTGTATTCTTAAAATATCAAGAAAATTTGAGTTACGGAGGTTTCAGGTGTGGAGCTCATGTCTGGGAGCTTCATGCATTTTTTCAGGGGGACTTAAGACAAGTACTTGAAAAAATTTACCTAGAAATGTATTTTACTAAAGGAGGTTCGAGTTATCGAGGTTCAACTTGACTCGACATTTAAAGATGGACAAGAGTATTGATCCACAGGTGACACAAGGTTTAATGTCACCATCAATCCATTATTGCAAATTTTTTGAAATAACATGAAAGTACTGTGAATGATAAGTAAATGAGCAACAACAAAAATGTATCAACATGATAACAGAAATATTTTGACAAACGAAATTTGTGACAAAAAGCGAAAGTGGCAGTGAATTCTTTTTTTTTTCTTTTTCTTTTTTGAAAGGAACAAAAATTTAGGCTTCAAAATAAAGTGGACGAGCTGAAAGACAAGGGGAAACGAGTCGTGGAGAATATCGAAGGGGCCAGCACAACTATGATTCAACGTTGGAAGGACAACTCCAGAGACTACATCAGCAATTTCATTGGCTTTTTCGGCGAACCCTTGGTAATAGATAATTCATTTTATTTTTTCTCAACGATCAAACCAAGGATTAATTTTTTTTTGCAGTCAAACATTTTGCAGCGCCGTGCGATTTCTCCGCCCCCGACAACAGCACCTTTGAATTGCGGAATAAAAGGGAAGAGGTACACCATTTAAATACTTACCTCGATTATAATCCTTGAGTACTATCCAAACAATTTACGCTTTTGCGCCGAAAATCTAATTGTGCCAAAAATGAATTTTGTCAAGTGGAAAATGACTCACACAACGAAATTTCTGCAAAACAAAGCATACTGGAACGAATTAGTTTCGTTGTGCGGGGACCCACCGTAGAATTTTACACTTTTTTCCGACAAAAATCGATATCGTAGAAATAAGAACGCAACATGTTTCAAAGCAAAATTTTCCCGAAATAACGAAAAATAATGCAATTCTATAGCATTTAGATTGAAGTACAATACTATTCAGAGGGAAGATGCTATGATGACGGTCAACGCGACATCTATCCCACTTCGACGGAAAGTAAGATCATAGACTAACGGCATAGAGGAAATATCATTAAAATAACAATATAAACGCAATTTAAAATTCAATCTTGGCCAGGATAATAAACTACAGCATTAAAATACTTTCTCAGTCAAAATAAATAATTTACAGTAAATATAATTGCTTCAAGTCCTCCCAATTCTCTCGCATGTCGTTTCTCTGGTAAGTTTTCTGAGTTCCGGGAAACGGAAACTTGATTTGAAGATTTTGAACGACAAAAAACTCCTTTCGAAGGGCTGCAAAAAGAAAAAAAAATCTTCGGCGTCTATAATGAATGAAAGGATGAAAATGACGAATTGAAAAATTGGAAACGTCCACATATGTCCTATATTGGGACTTCTTTCACTATACAAGGGTTGTCACAGTTGGGCGTGACCTTAGTTATTTGTATGTATGACTATGAAAAACCAAATGATACATCCCATGATGGTTTAAGGTCCTGGAATTTTATTTTCGGATTTTTAAAAGTCTTTCAATTTACTGCAAAAGATAAGTGAAAACTTTCCAGTCCCAGACAGATTTCTCCACGCATGTCACACAGCTGAATTTTGTCAAGCCAGCTGGAAAAAAATAGAAATTTTGTTGTTTTTTTAATCATTACACTTTTCTACATTTCAGATAGAGGTTAAAAAATCAAACAAATTTTCCCCCCAGTAACAACCCTTCAATTGAAAAATGTTTTTAAAAATTCGGAAAAAATCCCAGAACCTCACAACATCTTCGGATACATCAACATTTTTTTTATCATGAGTCATTCCTACTCTAGAAAGAACCAAGGTCGCGCCCAAGCGGGACAACCCTCGCTTGCTCTCTTGATAAAATCTTAATGCTCCTTGATTTAGCCCACCAACGAAGCGTCGCACGAAAGCAGGCAGAGAATCTTCCACTAGAATCACTGAAGATTTGTCAGATGCCGAGGACGAAGTTGCCGCTGCAATTAAATCCTCGCCAACCGAATACCTGACAACCCTCGCTGAGTGACANTTTAGCCCACCAACGAAGCGTCGCACGAAAGCAGGCAGAGAATCTTCCACTAGAATCACTGAAGATTTGTCAGATGCCGAGGACGAAGTTGCCGCTGCAATTAAATCCTCGCCAACCGAATACCTGACAACCCTTGCAGAGTGACAATTGGGGATTCAGGGTTCAAAGTCTCTCGCCTGTGCTCATTCGCATTTTCCTGTAGCATGTCCTTTTTTCTCCTTCGTCTTCCTAATTTTTTTCTTTTTTCCTCTCTACATATTTTTTTTTTTTGCATTTGCCATCAATAAACTGAACTCTTCGAGCTCGTCTTTTTTTTTTCATGGCGGATTGGAAGCTGTGATGGGACAAGCGCGTGTCTCGAGCTGCGTTTCTCCTCCTTACGCGAATAACTATACTTTAGTTAGTATTTTTTTTCCGTTGTTGTCGAATAAAGGATTTCCGACAGGCTATGTTTCGATTCGAAAGACAGTGAGTCCCCGCATAACGAAAATCTTCAGGGGGAAAAAGTGGCTCGCGTATAGGACATAGTTTCACATAATGAAATTTCTAGGCTAGGAAATGATTAAATATGATCAAATTTGGAATTTTTCTCAAAATATGGAGGGTTATGGGAATAGAAGAATATAGCAGAATATCTTTCTGCAATTAAAATTCCAAAAATTCAGAAAGTTACGAGCAAGAGTAGGACTACAGTACTTCAATTTCAAGTTGAAAAATTTTGAATTCACGATTTTCCGCTGAAAAATGCATAATTTTTTCGTTCGTTGTGGGATTTATTTTTGTTCGTGCGTGGCTCGAACCAAAAGAATCAATTAAAACGTAATACTGTACTGTAAAGGAAAAAGCGTTTTACAAAACGAAATTTCTGAAAAACAAACTAATTCAGGAAAAAAGAAATCTTTTCATGCGGTTACCCGCTGTAGAATTATATCTTGAATCTCTAGATTCGTTCATGTAAATAATATTTAAAAATTGAAAGGTCCATCGATATTCGATTTTTGCGCATGCAAGGTTCTAAAAAGAAATATTTTCATGCGGTTACCCGCTGTAGAATTATATCTTGAATCTCTAGATTCGTTCATGTAAATAATATTTAAAAATTGAAAGGTCCATCGATATTCGATTTTTGCGCATGCAAGGTTCTGCTCTCGATTTTGTAAGGTTAATTATGTTACAAGGACAGACACGGTGAATTGAGTACCACACTATATAAAAATATAATTTTCTAGGACATCGTAATTGTAAAAAAAAAGCATGCCCACAAAAATTACGTGCCAAAAGGTTCTTGGAATTTTAGAGGAAAACCTAATTTCTGGGGATGGCTTGAGACGAGTTTCCCATGGCCTTGGCTTAATTACTGAGGTAAAGAAGGCTCCAGAAGAAGCTAAGCACACTGGATAAGGTGGAACAAGAATGCAATCTCTGACAAGGAAAATGGCAACCTGTCTAAAATTGCAAATAGAAAACCTTTTGCTTTCTAAAAAAAAATACCCTGAGAAAATTCAGTCACAGATCACTTCCCAATGAAGCCTATTTTGTTATTGGAAAGCTTTTCCATAAACCTAAAAAGTAAATCCAAAAGGGGATCCCTCTCTTTAGATGAAGTATAAAAAGACAAACATGCTGATACAGTTATCACTGACCCAACCTCAAGGAAATTCAGCCCTGCGAATCAAAGCCAAAGAGAAATTTGCCAGTTGAGGACATTTTGATATGAGCAACTTGTCTCCTGTGTGGTGTAGGCAAATAAAATTGAGAGCGAATATCCTTCGCGCCAATGCTGTGAGAGAGAATTTTGGTCAGTTACATAATAAAGGATTGTTTTTTTATTATTATTTTCCTCGTCGACAAGTAAGGAATATTTGTTTTGTCACGAGTTTTGAGCAAGTTGTTAAAGATTTGAGCTTTAGATTAGATTAGTCGGTTAAGTTTATGCACACCGGAAGAGAAGAAGTGTCAACATCTATGACCAGAAAACCGCGTAAAAAGAACCTCCATCCAATTTGTTTTCACATGAAGAATCAATTTCATAACTTTTTCTTGGCCAGAACTCCGGATCATTTTTTCAACACCACCGGGCTATTTGAAACATAAGATTCTTGATTCGAGTTGTTCGCGCGTGGAATCAATTTCATGATTTTTTTTATAACTTAAGCTATTATTCAGCAACAACTGGGTTAACTAAAAAAATTCCTGATTCAATCTGGATTCAATTTTTTTTTCACATGAAGCATAAATTTCAAAACGATTTCCTCGTCGAGACTCCAGCTTCTTTTCAACACCACAAGGTTATTTGAAAGAGAAAATTCCTTTATTCAACCTTGATTAGATTTTTTCCGCATGATGAATACATGACTTTTTCCAGGCCAGAACTCCTGCTCCGTTTCTTAACCACGAGGTCATTCGAACGACAAGATTCTATTTTTCATCAAAAAATGAAAATGCTGAGAAATTCGGTACCTTGGAACCCTTCAAGAGCCTCGGCATCCCGTAAATGGTCGGGCTTTATTAGAGCGTTATAGGAAAAGAGAGATTATATTTTGCTTGACGAAAGCAGACACACAAAAGCACTGACATAGGCAACACCATCATATAATACAAAGCTAGATTATTTTACCTCATTACACTTATTTTATTCCGTTATTCCCGTATATATGTCCAGATGTGGTCACTCATCCGGACGGGGGTCGCCCGGATCGCGGCCTCCAGCATTACTCCGTCAACCAGCGTTCGATTTCCCTTGGCAACACTGAAGCCATTCCCCGCCCGACCAGTGTTTGGGTGGCTCAACACCGTGTTCAACAAAGTCGACGAGGAACGGGTTAAGGAAGTGGGTCCGGATTTGGCGGCGGCCGAGTGGCTGCTGAGATGCGGCGCCGGCGTGAAATGGTNCAGCTGTTCATTCCTTATAAACAAAACAGTGCTCAAAACTCGTTCAACAATTTCTAAACTCGAAATCTAATCTAATCAGCCAATTCAAATACGTGTGGCCTTCTCTTCTTCACAGTTGTAGATACTGAAGAAAACCGCGTAAAAAGAACCTCCACCCAATTTGTTTTCACATGAAGAATCAATTTCATAACTTTTTCTTGGCCAGAACTCCGGATCATTTTTTCAACACCACCGGGCTATTTGAAACATAAGATTCTTGATTCAAGTTGTTCGCGCGTAGAATCTATTACATGATTTTTTTTATAACTTCAGCTATTATTCAGCAACAACTGGGTTAACTAAAAAATTCCTGATTCAATCTGGATTCAATTTTTTTTTTCACATGAAGCATAAATTTCAAAACGATTTCCTCGTCGAGACTCCAGCTTCTTTTCAACACCACAAGGGTATTTGAAAGACAATATTCCTTTATTCAACCTTGATTAGATTTTTTCCGCATGATGAATACATGACTTTTTCCAGGCCAGAACTCCTGCTCCGTTTCTTAACCACGAGGTCATTCGAACGACAAGATTCTATTTTTCATCAGAAAATGAAAATGCTGAGAAATTCGGTACCTTGGAACCCTTCAAGAGCCTCGGCATCCCGTAAATGGTCGGGCTTTATTAGAGCGTTATAGGAAAAGAGAGATTATATTTTGCTTGACAAAAGCAGACACACAAAAGCACTGACATAGGCAACATCATCATATAATACAAAGCTAGATTATTTTACCTCATTACACTTATTTTATTCCGTTATTCCCGTATATGTCCTGATGTGGTCACTCATCCGGACGGGGGTCGCCCGGATCGCGGCCTCCAGCATTACTCCGTCAACCAGCGTTCGATTTCCCTTGGCAACACTGAAGCCATTCCCCGCCCGACCAGTGTTTGGGTGGCTCAGATGTGGTCACTCATCCGGACGGGGGTCGCCCGGATCGCGGCCTCCAGCATTACTCCGTCAACCAGCGTTCGATTTCCCTTGGCAACACTGAAGCCATTCCCCGCCCGACCAGTGTTTGGGTGGCTCAACACCGTGTTCAACAAAGTCGACCTCCTTGCCCAATTCCTTCACCCAGGCCTAAACCGCCGCCGGCTCACCGACGACTCTACGCCGCGGCCGCACTTTACCAGCCCGTCGAGGTCCGAATGGTTCCTGATGTTAGTGAACGGGCGCTTTCGCGCCGGCGGCAGGATTGAAGCCATAGACGCCACGGAAGCCTGTGTTATGAGTGTAGGGTTCCCGCACTTGCGCGGACTGGAGGTTCGTGGCGGGTTTTGATTGAAACTCGAGTTTATTATTCTGCAAATTTTTGACATAAATCCAACGGAGTTTCAACAATTCAAAAATTTACAGTGAGACCCCCACATGCAGACACCTTGACATGAAGACAATTTGACATATGGACACTAACTCGACATGAAGACATTGCATGATAAAATTGCCAATAAATTTCACAAAAATTTTCTTTTATTTGGCTTGATTGCAAGAAACAGATATTTACAACTGTAAGATTTATGCTAGAAAAATTCTTTGTCCTTTCTCCTATCATTTTCCTATCCATTCAGCCAATTAAAAAAATTACCTACTGGTGCATAGAGGGACTTCCTTCTTTCATCGTGACTTGAATGTCATTTTTGTAGATGCCAACATTTTAATGTGCAGTACAGAGATGCACTATTCAATGCTCCAAATGTTTTTATTGAGTTGAAAATATATTCACTGAATAAAAATCAAGCAACAATTTTTTTTCATGGAATTCTGAAGAATATTTCTTCCATATAACACCAATTAAAAAGTATATAATGTAAGTCTATGGGAAAACAAGACTCAACTTAGGGACATCCACATCTGGGAGTCTCACTGTATTTGCCCAATCATTTGGCTACACATCAGTGCTGTTCAACACAATCTCCACCGATTTCAATGCATTTATCCACAATCCAAACGAAGCCCAAAAAAATCAGGTTCCGTTGGTGGATTAGGCACCCTGTGACTTCTGGCTGTTCCCGACAGTGAAAAATGACCAAGGGATTGATTTTGAGGACATGGGACAGCTTCATTTCTGCCATCGAAGACCAGCCTTATCAACAAACGATTTTTAGCACTGCTTTGATCTTTGGATTTATCGCATGAAGAAATGCATTTGAATCGGCGGAGAGTACGTTGAACAGCATCGAAGTGTTGCCAAATGATGGGGCTATGCGAGTAAAAAGGAATTGTTGAAACTCTGTTGGTTCAATTTCAAAAAGTTGCAAAACTCATGAACCAACCCTCGTTTTTATTCGAGTACCACGCGCTCCTTTCTCGTCAAATTTAAGAGGTAAAAAGGGTGATGTAAGATTGTAAGTGACAAGCGCGTATACATTTTTCGAAAAGTTTTATAAATTTCAGCGTGCATTACACGTGCTTCTAAGGGGAAATTTTGGACCAAAGTTGAACAAAAGACGTTATTTACATGGAAATACTGTACAGTAAAAGAAAACTAGTTGAATTCAAGATAAATCCATGTCTAAATTAAAATTTGGGTACTTCTATCTTTGGAATATTGTGTTTTGGGAATCCCTCAAAATAAGGTGCGTGTCTCACTAGGCCAACTAGGGGATAGGGTTTTGCCAAAAATGGCAAATGAAAAACCCAGTTGCGCGTCTTGCTCGAGGGCATGCGGTACAGTACTCGAGTAAATACTGTACTGTAAATGTTCTCGGGATAGAAATTGAAACGGCATACCGTATCATTTGAGCTGCAAGACAATTATTTTTCAGAAAAAAATTCTTTGGGACGCGAAAAAAAAATCCAGCCCTGAATGAGACATTCTTGCATATTTTGTTTGTGCAGAAGTTATCCCGGCATCTTTCTGCTCTTATTCACTCAAAATATTGAGCGCCCATCTCACAGATTTTTTGGTGTGGCCTAGCTTTTCCTTCACAATTTCTGTGAGGCCAAAATTCTTGCTTTTCTACCACACAAAATTAGCTTCACCGTGAATTCAAAATGTGCAATAATAATAAAAAATGGCATTTATTCAGTCTTATTTGCGCATGAAAAATCTTGGCTGCGGCAATTTTAGTTGTACAGTAGCATCTCGTCAAGAAACGTTTGGGACCTTGAGAAAAGATTCGTTTAAAATTACATTTAAATTACATTGTGGCTATTCGACAGGGATCGAAACAAATTAGTTGTAAGCGTAACGAATTATATTGTACTGTATTTCAAAATCTACTTTCTATTAGCTACAGTAAATCCTTGGGCAACTGCCATTATCAATTAGGGTATCCAGAAGTAAACCAAGTACAGTATGTCATAAGCAAATACAGTATTTAGAGAATACAATTTAAGGAATTGAGAACATTTTCAGGGAATGTACCGATCGAGGAGAGTCAAGATTCCAGCTGATCGCTTGTCTCCGCGAAAGTACCTAATGAACCAATTCATAATTTTTTTCAAGGCCGAAAAAAAGAGACCGGACTTCCAGTAGAAAATTCCCTTTCTTGTTTTTTGAAATCTTCGTTTCAATATTAATAAAATTCAGCTGATCTGATCAGTTGCCTCTGCGAAACTACCCAATGGACCAATTCATAATATTTCAACATTTTCAAGACAGAAAATTTCCGATTGAAAAAAAATCTTTCTTTCAATATTATTAAAATTATAGCTGATCTGTTGCATCCGCGAAACTACCCAATGGAACAATTCATTATTTTTCCAAGACATAAAAAATACCGGATTTCCAGCAGCAGAAAATTTTAAGTTCTGATAATTGAAATACAGTACAGTAATGTACAGTACTTGCTTTAATATAATCAAAATGCAGCTGATGAGTAGCCTCTGCAAAATTACCGGATGGACTAATTCATAATTTTTTCGATCGGATTTCCAGTAGAAAAGTCCCGGTTTTGTTCATAGAAATCTTTGTTTCATTATTACAACCTTGAGGATCTGGTCCCCAAAAACAAATTCACGAAGAACTCGAAGCTACCCAGATTTGAGTATTTGACAACCATATTTTTGCAGGGCGTGAAAGAAATGAAACTAATTCGCTGCGCTTATCTCGACGATGAAGCACTTGCCTACCTGATTGACCTCAAGCATCTCAAAACCCTGGAAATAATATCTTGCGGCAACGTCACCAGTGCTGGTCTCAAGTATCTCAAGAGACTAGGTCAGCTCGAAAAACTCGTTCTTTACGACCTCCCAGAAGTCCCCAGAGAGGAAATGCTGAAAGAACTGCAAGAAGCTCTTCCAAACACAAAGATACAATTTGATGACGCAGAAAGAAGTAGAGCTTCTAGTCATCGCCGCTGATATTGATTTTATTTCGCTTCGAATTCTCTTGTGGATGTGAATCACGCTCTCAATTTTTTTTATCGTAAAAGACGTAAAACTGTCAATGTTTCAGTCCATTGTCTCTTCAACTACACCATAGCCAACAGTAAAAGTGTACCGAGTAAGTTAGAACTTTTTATTACTTCGTCGACCCTAGAACTTTAAACAACGTCAAAAAATTAAAAATAAAACGAACGTAAAATGTTCGCAAATATAGAAAGAACTGCAGGTATGATTTGGGACGTTATTGGGGATCGTTCTCGTGTTCGGACTTCTTGTGGAAAACGAAGGTGAAAATCACTTCAAATGACCCATCATGATCTATAAAGGGTCCCTCAGTGAAGAACTGAAGAATAATATTGTTTCATAGCTTGAAACAAATCTCATCAATGCCATGATTTTAGTTTTTTTCGGCAATATTCTCGTACTTGCTGTTTTTCCTTTTTAAATCAACATGACTGAGCTCCCGGTTGGAATCCTGAAAATTAGCATAGAGAAAATAATGAATGACCGATTTCCTCCAATGGATACCACTTTTTTGGCATGGTTTTGGAATGCATTTAAAAAAATGAGGGGTGCTTTTTCGAAACTCGGACTGCTTGAAGTTGACTTTCAACGTGTTTTGAAAGTTCATAACCCTGGCAGTATTATTCCTGGTGGAAAATGCGTCAATTTCATTCAATTTATCAAAGCCACGCCATTTTCAAGAACAGGACCCAGTTTTTGAAAGAAATTTAAATTTCGACCAAGAAGAACAATGGATAATTTTACTTTTTAATGATTTGTCACTGTCGTACTAACTTCCGCTCACATGAAATTTCTATAGAGCCCAACATGAACCCCTTTCGGTAATAGAATCCAAGAATGACAGTCTAGTAGAACGAAGTTATGTTCGACCAGGACCTCCATTAATTTAATATCGCCCACCGCTTTGTGGAGATCACAGATATGTAGTATTTTTCCAAGGACTTTGATTGCATTTCAATTTCAAACTCACTTTAAAAAGCTTTTCAATCTAAACAAAAATTAATTCAAAATACCGTATTAACCTTGAAAGAGAAACTACGGCCTCTATTGAAATTTTCAATGTAGCCTGTGGAATAAGTCGCCGAAGAGCTGCTAGTTACAAATCGAATTTCTGAGCCGCCTGAGGAAAAATTAAAAATAAGGGAATATTGGGAGCACAAGACGAGTTCCTTCAAGACCCTGATGATGAATTAGAATAGCCACGAGACCACAATGAAAATATTGAAAACATCAAAATGAAGATATTGCAGCTGAAGATATCCAGAATATGAATCAGACTATTTCTTTGAAAAGTTGGAAAATCCTTACATTTGCAAGGTTGGGTTAAACTAAGACAGAGACAGGAAAACACTCGAATTTTCCTACTCATCTTGGAAAACCCAGAAACATCCGTAACAAAAATTGGTAAGAACGCAAGTGGCACCTTTTTGCGGGGATCTCGATTATACTTGATTTCACTTGCTGGTTCGTGAAATCAAATTCATTTTCAAGAAAATTCAATGACTTTAATTCGATGTCACATTTT